ATTTATTTGTTCATGTGTTCCCCAAACATTTATTGAACAGCTGCTAGGTGGCAGACACTGCAATACAAATTCCCAGAGGATGGGAAGTGTGTATGTGTAGGGGTGGGGGGGAGGGAGAGACAAGTAAATAGGCAGTTGCGATGAAGTGTTAATGGCTAAATAGAGAGACGCACACCTCCCTCCTATGACCTCAGGAGGACCCCTGGCCCAGCAAGGACAGGCAGAGAAGGCTCCTGAAGGAGGTGGCCCTGGAGCTGTAACGTCCTGTATCTCCAGTTCGTTTGGAATCTCTGAACGGGGACGGGGGAGGCGGGGCAGGCTCCCCCTTTCTACTTACCGTCACCCGACCGTGCTCCTCCTTTTCCTCCAGCACATCGGGTTTTCTGACAGTTAAATTCTCTTAGAAATGTGCTAAGACCTGTTTCAACTCACAGGCCATCCAACGTGCTGTGTCATTCGTCACAACTTGACTCTCAACATCATACGTAACCACAAGTAGCTTGCCCAACTCCTCTTGGTATGGAGAACAAAATTTGAAGAGTTAGAGATCCGTAATCATTTATAAACTATCTTTGCTTCAGGTGCGGTCAGAGTTAAAGACAAACTTTAAGGGACAAGAAAAAGGGACCTGTGCTGGGGGAGGTGCTGGCATCTACCTCCTCAGTGGCCCTGTCTGGGCTCCGTGGCATTTCTTCTCAGTTTTCTGGCGTGTTCCAGGCTACTTGTCTTTACAGGAAAACTAGTGAGGTCAGTACAAGTCCACTGACCTCACTAGTTTTCCTATAAAGACAAGTGGCCCCCAAAACAATGCCCTCCCCCCACCAACCACTATGCAAACTGACATTTGCACTGAAGATGACCCAGTTCCGCACCAGTGGTTCATTCCCTATGGAAAATAGAGGCATCGGTTATAGCATCTCCTAAATTTTAGGCCCAGAGCCAGCTTACAGGGGCATATGTATGTGTTTGTGTGTATGGGTGGGTGTGTTATGTGTATTTCTTTTGAAATTTAGTTGAGTTAATCATCATTTTATGGCCCATTCTCACCATTGGTCCCTTTGAGCTCATCTATGGATTGATAGATTGATTTTCCCTTTTTCATTCTCCATTTTCATCCCTAAAGGCAACAGCTGGGTTCACCTAGATCTTTGACTTTGCACACATCCTTATGAAATGATTAATTTTGCGTGTATATACTTTTAAGTTTCATAAATTAAACAGGGGCATAGAACTCGTTTTATTCCTTCCTTTTTATGCTAAAACACTGTTTCGGGGGTCGATTCATGGTGCCGGGTATATATTTATTTTGTTGCTTGTAACTGCTACCGAGTATCCAGAAGGCACATCGCTCATATTTTACTTATTGCCCCCAGGGACAGTGAACACCCAGGTCGTCTCCATATCCCTTTTTGTACCCAGAGTTTTTCTAGAGTATATGCCCAGCTTGTTCTCTAGAAGAACTACATGCATCGAGAGTCCTCCAGAAATGTACAAGTATTTCCCTTTCCTCATGTCTCTGCCAACAAATAGAATCATCTAACTTTCTAAACTTTTTGCCAGTCTTATCGGTGTAAAGTGATGTCTAGTTGTTTTGGTTTGCAGAGCTCTGATGACTGATGAGCTTGAGCGTCTCTTCATATTCTAGCCCTTTGGGTTTCCCTTTCTGTGAACTGGCTGTACATATCCTTTGACCATTTTCTTATTGGTCTTCCTGCTCATTTTCTTATTGATTTATAGGGATTTATTCTTTATTCTAGATATTAGTCCTTGTCAGTTTTAGATTTTGCAAATATATCCTTTCGACTTGTCTATTATTTTGACTGTGATGTCCTTTAATAAACAGAAATATTTAAATTTTGATATGATCAGTTTAGTGAATCCTCTCCCCGCCGATGGTTGATATTTAAAAGTTCTTCCTCAGGTGGAATACCTTTTAGGTTGTTTTAAGAACTCTAATTTGAATTCTATTAAGAAGCTTTAAAGAGCTTTGCTTTCCTCCCAGTTTTGTCCTTTTATAGTCATTAGATGATTCAACAATGAAGGGACAGTAGATACAAATTACAGAGTTGGTTGTGATTTTACAGATGTGCTCAAGGCATATGGATTTTTTTTATCTATTTCAAAGTCATGTTGGGGATCAAATTCTTTTAATACCATTTTACTACCATCTCCGATCTACTCTCCTGGGCCATTTCTGCCTTAGATACTTGCCCCTTCTGGCTCCTTGTCCTTATAAAGCTCATAGAGTCGCTAGACTGTATTCTCACTGTCAGAGTATCATCTTTCTGCTCTAGACTTTGGTCCATGCACATCATAGGTCCATCCTCTCCTAGACCCTCTGGGTGCTCAGAGATGTGCAGGCATTTCTTTTTATACTTAAAGACCCTTTGGAGGTGCCCTGTATTAGCATCCAGCAACAACCTTAATCTGATATGCTCATCTATACTTTGATACACAATTTAATTTGAAGAGCAATCCATTTATTTTTAAGTGCAATCCTCTTAGGTGCCTTCATGTTGTGATTTTTTTCATTGAATGAGCCAAACCTACACAAATCTCAGAGCAGGCAGCTCCAGCCAGGGAACTCCTAGACTCAGAGAAAATTAACTGTGAAAGTACCTTGAGGGAACTCCAGTGGTTTCTAACTTGGGGTGGTGTCCCCGCTCCTATTCTGAGGAGCATTTGGAAATAATTGGGGGAGGGGCACATTTTTGGTCATCACAATGACTGAATATGCCACTAGCTCTTAGTACCTGAAGGGTAGTGTGCTAAATATCCTACCATGCCTTGGAAGGTTTGAAACAATAAGGAATTGTTTAGCCCCAGTAGAGCCCTATTAAGAAGCAAACAGTGCCGATAGTATGACCCATTAAGGAACAATGATTTAAATCGCTTTATTGTATAGGTGATGAAAATAAGACCCAGAGAGACCGGCAAGTGCCCAAGCTCACACAGCTAGATCTGAACTAGAATATAAGTTTCTAGACACTCAGGCTGTGGTCTCCCATGGATATAAATACATTCTATTGGGTGAGCTTATTCCCAGTTCTTCTTTTGGGTGGCAGAACTATTTCACGTTCACCCTGTTCTTCTTGTTTTTAATCTCTCTCTCTCTTTCTCTTTCTTTACTGCTTACAGCTGAGCTCGGTGATTACGATCCTGATGAGCATCCTGAGAATTACATCAGTGAGTTTGAGATTTTCCCCAAGCAATCACAGAAGCTGGAAAGAAAAATAGCAGAAATCCATAAAAATGAACTCAGGTAACAGGGGTAGACATTTGTAAGAATGGGGGAGGTGCCAGCCTATTCTTACTGCGGGGGATGTGGAAACCATGTTTTGAAGTCAGGATATTTGTACTGTATGGGCACACTGTTTCACATGGCAGAGCAGTATTTCTGGGCACTGTCAAAGTCCTCTGTTAATAACAATCTCAAGTGTGGGATCTCCTGGGTGGCTGTTTATGAACCATCAGCAGTAGTTATTAGAGCCATATATTTTCTTGTGGATTTTAACCATCTTTTGAGTTTCTGAAAGGGAAGTCTAGGGTAAGTAATTCTTCCTGTTTTGAAGTTTGCATTGCCTAGGCTGTCACTGGAAGCTTCGCCTCCAAGTAGAATAGATTTCTTCGACAAGGTTTCTTTTGCTGAGCTGTTTTCAGAGTGACAGATTCAGTGCCTGCTCCTCCTTTCCTTGTCTGTGATGCTCCGGAACGATTGCTGACTATAGAGTAGTAGTGTTAGGAGTAGCAAAATTGCATGTAGCTTTCGGTGTCCCAGACACTGTTCTAATTACTCGTGCATATTGACTTATTTAATCTTCACGACAACCTAGGAGATAGATGCCATGGTTATTCCCATTTTACAGATGAAGGAGCTGAGGCACAGAGAGATTAAGCATCCTGCTCAAGAGCACCCAGCTAGCAAGTGGTAGATGCAGGATTTGGATCTAGGCAGCCTGGCTCCAGAGTCTTTGCTCTTAAGCATTGTGTGATCCTTCCACTCTGCATAGGCAACCAGGAATGAAATGAAGCATGCATAGGAATCACCAGCAATTTGAAATTCAGGTAACTTAGGTCTTCTGGTCTGTAACTAGAATTTAGATCTGTGCAAATCACAGAAAAAATTTGTTTTGATAATAGCAAGCATGAGCTGTGCTGTGACAAATGTTGATGAAGAACTGCAAGAGCTGAGATGCTTCTGTCTTCTGCGCCTCTGGTAATTATAAAGAAATTAGTGTTACTGGATTATGACTTCTGGAACAAATTCCTGTCCCCTTGTGAGGGAGTGCCGGAGCTCCCTACTTTATGCAGGCACTCCCCCTCCTGGTGAGTCTGAGAAGAGTACACATGTGGGGATTGAAGGTGGCAGCATATTACAGCTTGGAAAACATGACCTTTGCTCTTCGAGATAAAAATGGTTAGATGTCAAAAAATTATATTAATTGCAGAAAGCAACATACTCTCTCTATGGGTAATTTTAGAGTATTGTCTCCTGATGGAAAGTTTTGCTGAAAGTACGACGCTTTGACTACTCTTTTTACATTTTGGGGACAGCATGCTAGAGGTTAAAGTTCCAATATCCAGTTGAGGGATATGAGGACCAGCAGTGTCTGGGAAGCACAGGAGGAGACCTTTTGGACAAAGAAGTCATATCCACTGTGCATAGTAGGAAATGGGAATTGAAATCTGTGACCAGATTTTGCAGGGCATCAAATGCTTGGAACATATGGTAATAGTAAACATTTACTGAGCACTTACCGGATGCCAAAACACTGTGTTACATGCATCACCCTGTCAGCCCTCCCAAATTCTACAAGGTAGGTGCTACTGTTGTTTCCAGACTGAGGAAGAAAGCATAACCAGGAGTGGCTAAAGGACTTGCTTTGTTAGTAGGGGAGTCAGGACTTGAACCTTGCTCTTATCTGAAACTTAACATCCCTGCTCTAACTATGCCGAGCAGCCGCAAGTCTCACTGATGTTCCACAGCTATCACCATGGCAGTGGCGTCAGAAGGTGGAGACTGCAGGCAAGAGGACCAGTTAGTTAGTTCTGCTGTCCAGACAAGAGATGCCGCAAACCTGAAAAAGAATAGGAGAGAACATTGAAAGAAGTCTCAAGAGACATTGCAACAAGGCAGTGACCCATGCCTTCATGACTAAATGAATGAATCAAAGAAGATTCCAGATTGTTTTTTATAACCAGGAAGCTGTAGAGTGGCTCTTGTGCCAGTACCTGAATTTGTCGATAACCTTGTAAATGGTTATCACACACCTAAGGAATAGAGGGGATCACCAATCAGCTGTGGAAGTAAATGCCGTGGTTAGATCAAAGCTGCCGTTCTGTGCCAGTACGCATTTGTAACACCCAGAAAGGCCCTGTAAAGAAGTCAAACTTGTATGTCTGAAAGATAAAACAGCTAGAAATCATGTGTCATTGCGAGGAGAGATGCAGAGACTACTTTTGTATGTATTTTCGTTCATTCTCCTCAAGTGGTTGTGCATTTCCTCTTACATTGATGCAGCAGAGAGAAATTTTAGGTTTGGATGGGCATTGAGAAGAACAGAATGAGCTGATCATGTGGAGGGGAGGGGCTTTCTAGAACTGGTTGGAAACCTGCTGCAGAGACTGAGGTTACTCTGGAGGCTCAGCGAGCACATCTCACACGGGCTGTGAAAGTGTCGATCTCCTTGTGTGGGAACTGGACCTTTGGTTGGATCACCCTGCTGACCTGACAGTGTCAGGAAAGAGTTGTAAATGGAAGAGATTGTTATGAGGCTGCATCAAGGTGTTGCCATCTTATTCTCCAAGGTTGTCACAGCACCCATGACAGCAAAGGGATGATGTATGATCAGTGATCTGTTGTTATGGAAACTTCCTGAGAGGATTCCAGTTGGTCTTTGTTGGGGTGTCAGGGGCCCCCAAATAGCCTCCTGCTTCCTATCTGGTTTCTGAACCAGCTGAGAAAGAAAACAAAAGAGATGGTCATAGAGGCACTTGAGTAGAAATAATGATGATGGTTTACAGTGGGATAAACATTTTACCTGTGGGATTTTACAACCTTCTCCAGCCTCTTTACTTGATTAGAATCATTCTTCTGTGCTTTCTGAGGAAGGGATAGAAGCTTAAATTCTTGGGAGAAAATCAGGGAGGAAGAAGAACCTCCACCCCTCCTTGGGAGGCTACATACTGCTTGAAGGTAGAACTAAGATGGTTTGATAGACAGGCATGAATACGAGAATTCTTTAGGGGAAAGGAGAGAGGGGAGAGTAAGAGAGGAGGGGAGGAGGAGAGTGGAACTTTGAGGTGCTTAAAAATAGAAGCTCAGTGAGCCCTTTGCACACAGGTCATGAAAATGTCGATCTTGCGTGGGAATTGGACGTAATTGGAAGATCAAGATTTTAGTAAGAGTTCTCATAAACTAAGTGCTTAGACTTCTTTTATTTGTGAGTGAAGATCGAAATTCATGGCTCGGTCAACTTTGCTTTCTTAAATGTGCCACATCTTTCTTTGAACAGGAGGATAGGGTAGGAAGAAGTGACAGTTTTGCAAATACAATAACATCGTTAATTGATTATCGCTATATCTGTCAAGAAAAGTTAGATTTTGCTGAGAAAACAACCCTCAAAGCTCAGTGGCTTAGAACAAGGAAGGCTCATTTCTTATTTTGCTATGTGTCCACCTTAGGTCAGCTGGAGGACTCTGCTCATCATTGTCGTTCAGGGCAGTCTTTTTGGTGAATACCAAAGAGAGCAATTGCTGGAACTCAGGGCAGTCCTAAGCTTGAATTTCCCAGTTGTTGAGCCAAAGGGAAAAGAAAGATCTGGAAGGTCTTCCTTCAGCTTGGAAGTGATACATGTCACTTCTGCTTAATCACCGTTGCCATAACTAGCCACATGGTCCTGCCCAAGAATAAGGACCTACAATTCTATGAGGTTTCCAGAAGGTGCATACTGGAAATAGCTGGAAATAGCACTTAAAAACTTCACAATATTATTCACTTATAGGATTTTTTTTTTTAATAGACTTTATTTTTTAGAGCAGTTTTAGATTCATAGCAAAATTGAGTGGAAAGCACAGAGATTTCTCTTGTACCCTCTGTGTAGCCTCCCCCATTGTCAATGCCCCTTACCAGAGTGATACATTTGTTACAATTGATGAACCTACATTGACGCATCATTATCACCACCCACAGTCCATAGTTTACTTCAGGGTTCACTCTTGGTGGTGTACATTCTATGGTTTTAGATAATGACATGCACCCACCAATATAGCATAATATAGAATGCTTCCACTGCCCTAAAAATCTTCTGTATTCATCTCTCCCTTCCCCTGAACCCCTGGCAACCACTTATCTTTTTATTGTCTCCATAGTTTTGTCTTTTCCAGAATGTCACATAGTTGGGTCCACACGATGTGTAATCTTTTCAAATTGGCTTCTTTCACTTAGTGATATGCCTTTAAGTTTCCTCCATGTCTCTTCATTTATAGCTCATTTTATGGCTGAATAATCTATTGTTTGGACGTACCACAGTTGATTTATCCATTCATCTCTCGAAGGACATCTTGGTTGCTTCCAAGTTTTGGCAATGATGAATGAAGCTGCTGTCAACATCCATGTGCAAGCTTTTGTGTGGACATAAATTTTCAACTCTTTTTGGTGAATACCAAAGAGAGCAATTGCTGGATTTCATCTTGTGAGAAACTACTGAACTGTCTTCTAAAGTGGATGTTCCATTTTGCATTCTTACTAGCAATGAATGAGAGTTCCCATAGCTTCACATCTTTGTCATCATTTGGTGTTTTTAGTGTTCTGCATTTTGGCCATTCTAAAAGGTGTCTAGCTAATAGTTTAGAAAGATTTTATAGAGGCATATTTGGGCCTCTTAATATCCTGTGAATTAGAGGACGTGGAGATGTATGATTCACATTATTGGATAGATGTCAGTGCTAAAACCCGCTGAGGGTGAATGCTTCTAGATCAGGAGTAGTTAACAAGTATTTTTTTTTTTTTAATTTGTTTTTTGTTTTTGTGTGTGTGTGTGTGGCGGGGGCGGGAGGAGCTTTCTGGGCTGTATGATCTCTATTCCAGCTACTCAGTTCTGTTTTTGTAGAGCAAAAGAAGACACAGACAACACATAAATGAGTGAGGCATTATTCAATGAAACTTTGTTGACAGAACAGATGGTGAGCCAGATTTTACCCATGAGTTCTAGCTTGCTGACTTCTGCCCTAAAGATGTGGTGGAACAGGTCTAGAATCAGT